GCTTCACTGCCAGGACTGACGGAAGCTCGCAGGGTGATTACATCACCCTTTTGGTCAACAAGACCTTGCTCACCTCAGCTGAGGAGGGCGAGTACCATGTGCTGGATTGGAGAAGCTTCCGAACACCACGTGTTGCCCGCAGCAGCTTGGGGGCAGAGGCTCAGACCGGAGGCCAGGCGTGGATGCAGTTGATTTCACACGCCGATACTGGCACTACTTGATGCACCCCAACACCAGGTTGAAGGAGCTGCTCGAAGTTCCATCCTCGCTCAAGCCAGTTCTCATCACCGACGCCAAGGCTCTCTATGATTCCTACCACAGGGAGGGAATCAGTTCGTCTGTGGTCGACAAGCGTGTCTCCCTGGAGGTCAGAGTCATGAAGGAGCGCTTGGAAGAGCTGTCAGGCTCTCTTCGATGGATGAGCTCCGAGAGGCAAGTGGCAGATGGCTTGACAAAGGAATCTGCCAGAGGCTTGCTGGCATCGCGGCTTCGTCACGGGAGGCTGAAGATGACCTGGGGCCCACACTATGTGGCACACAAGAAGAAGACCAAGGCCGAGAAGGCCGCAGCTCTTGCAGAGTCCACTGCACTTCCACCTGTGCCTCAACGTACTCTTCGCCGCGCGGAGGACTTCATGGAAGATGAGCGCACCCAGGACGTCAATGACGACCCTCAGACCGAGCACACCACTGAGTATGACACCACCCCAGAGCTCAATGAAGCTTCAACGAATGAGGAGTGGCAGTATGTCGACAATGACCGCGCTGAATTTGTCAGCTTTGTTCAGTATGACGGCACCCTTGAGTATAAGGACGCCAAACGCCATGTCGTGCCGCCTCTCCTGAACTTTGTCAGCCCGAGCCTTCTGAAGAACGTGTTTCGTGCTTTTGTGAGCATGTCAATGCTTGCAGCTGGAAAGGCCGAGACCGACACCTGCCCGAAAGCTGAAGTCAGTGCTCCTGAGAACGTTGACGACTCAGGAGACATGTGGTTGAGCATCTTCATGCTTTTGCACCTTGGAGCGATGGTCCTCGTTTTTCTGTGTGGCCGCATCTCAAAGAGTTCAAGCCCAACTGAGAAGCCTGAACGCACCACTGTCGAGGCCAGTGTACAGAAGGACGATCCAATTGTCTTGTCCAGGTGGCGTGAAATCGCCAAGGAAGAGTCCCAAAAGGCCAGTGAGCACCTTGCTGCAGCTCGCGAAGCAAGAAGAGCCTTGGACCTCCAAGTCACGGAGGTTGCTGAGTTGAGGTCCCTAGTTGAAGATGGGGACCAGCTTTTGAGGGCCCTGCTTGTAGAGATGGAGCACCACGCCAACCGGTGCCCATGTGGAAAGGAGTTGTTTGTGGTCCGCAAAGGACGTTGCTGGCGTTTGAATGGCTGCCACATTTTGGACCAGGCAGCGCCAGGAAATGTACAGTCAGTTCGTGGCTGTAGTTTTTGCACAGAGCATCAGATCCCGCCGGATCGCTTCCAATACCCGTGAACATGTGGCTTCAAGATGCCACCAGGTTCGCTTTTGTCCACCAAGGGCAATAACGGCCCGTGTCAAGATGCACGCTGTGCATCAGGAAACCAAACGCGAAACTCGCGACCGTCCGAGAAGGGTGGGCTCAAGACAGCTGAAAACACCTACGGTGCGGCCGCTTCGTGCGGCTTTCGACTTCGCGCGTGCGGCGCTTGCTTTTTGGTTTGGTCGTGGACCTCGTTAGCCACTACCAGTTCTTCATAACTAGGATTGTGAGAGTAGAGTAGCTGGCCAGCAGCCTGAGAGCTAAGAGAGAAAGAGAGAGAGAGAGAGAGAGTGAGAGTGAGAGCGAGAGAGAGAGAGAGATGAAGCAAAGGTTGACAAGGACCGCCAGCTTTTGATGAGTGGTGGCCTGAGCACCTACTTGAGCTTGCTACGTGAGTCCTGGTTTTTACTGCAGGAATTCAATGGGCAGGGTAATTCCAAGCTCCCCACTTCTCCAGCCTAGACATCCAACTACGTTGCGCTGTGAAGTGACGCCTGGAAGGTTTTCACGATGTCGGACCAAAGCTAGCTGAGCTTGAAGAAGCATTGAAAAAGCAAGCTGCCGAGGCGGGTTGTCATGCAATGCCAGCAAGCACGCACGTTTGTTGGGCTGTTGGCTGTTGTTTCAATTTATGTGGCAGGCTTCCGCTCTTTGTGATGCATTCCATCGTATCAAGGTGGGACACTCATATCTAACTTTATGTAACTTAGAGGTACTTGTTGCTTCCATTCGCATCAAAAAGAGCCATGAAACCGAACCAAGGACAGCCTTTCAGCCAACGCCACTGAGGAATCTCCAAAGGAGACTCATTCCCCTTGAGTCTTGGCTTTGCCCATGACGAGGTCAGCTGGTACTGTAGGTCCTGGTAGGTGTTCAAGAGAGCATGCCGATTCCCAGACATGACCCGGAGGTTTGTATATATATATATATTATATATGCTATTGAAACGTGTGACGCGGCTGATGGGGAGAAATGGATGAAAGCAAGTAGCACAGCCAAGGTGAGCAGAGGCCACTGGAATGCACGCAGCCTGGGCCTGCACAAGATTTCGACAGTGAGCTGCCAGCAACTGGGAAGCCTGAGCAGGCCCGGAACTGATCAAATCATTTACATGCCCAATGCTTTTCCAAAGAGTTTGGTTTGTAGTGTGCCGGGTTCACCGGTGAGATGGTTGGGACACATTGTTTGGGTTTTGACTCCTGGATATGGCCTCTCACCATGCCTTGGACCTAGATCTGGCACAATATGCATATCACTGAAAATCCTATTCTTATCACTGCAGCTCCACAACGCGTCCCTTCTTGCACAGTTGATACTCTTCCTTTAGCATGGCTTTTCAATGTGTGTTTTTGGATTGTTTAAAATGCATTTGGTGCATGAACCCTTCCTTCAAGGGGATGGAGCTTGAAGCCGAGCCGAGAATAGAAGTGGCCAGCGAGGCTCAGTCAGACTTGCTCCATGTAGAAGCTTTTGGAACAGAAGACGCAGAGCTTAAAGAGGTCACCGAGCTCGAAGAGCTCCAACACAAAACGCATATAGAAGGCAACACATACGAGCCTTCAGGGTGGGAGACAGCGAGTGAGTGCCAGAGTGCCTCTGAAGCTTCAAATTCGGGTGCTGAGAGTGTGGCTGGACATTCTACACTGAGTGCCAGCCGCACCACAGTACCTTCGCCAATCGATTGCTCAAACCTGGCAGAGGGTAAAGTTGACTGTGATGTTGCAGAGCTGGTGGAAGACGCGAGAAGCAGGGTTCCAAGCATTCGACTTGAAGACCTTGCCGGTCAGCCTTGTATTTACCTAGTTACTTTTCTACCTTGCAGAGATTTGTTTTCCCTGCGGTTGACGTCCAAGATGGCCTTGGCTGACACAGCTCAGGAGATTCAGGACAGATTAAAGAAAATATGGTTCGAGGCCTTGAGTCCCAGCTCCACGGGTGCGGATTCCAGCGGCGAGCGAAGAGCTGCTCACGCAGACGAAAGCAGCGAAGGCGAAAGCCGGCCACACCGAACACCCAACGACGTTGCAATCTTCCTGAATGTTTATGATGTCACGCACTATTCTGGAGTTCAGTGGCTCAATGCTCTTTTCGCAAACCAGTATTCGCCAATAAAGTTTGGCGGGATATTTCATGTTGGTGTCCAAATCGGACATAAGGAATGGTCCTATGGATACAAAGCAGATGGCACAGGAGTGTTTTGGACCCCACCACTGTATCAAGCTGCTCACCACTTCCGTGAATCGATTCGTATGCAGCCTACACACTTGACGCAAGAAGAAATCTCGAATGTCATCCGGGATTTGGAGGCAGAGTGGACTGGACCTAGTTACAATGTATTTCGCCGAAACTGCTGCCACTTCGCCGATGCTGTGTGTCAACGCCTTGGTGTTGGCCCTTTGCCAGAATGGACTTACCGTGACTTGGAATGATTCCGCAAGGCAAGCAAGTACTGTATGTTGTTGAGCAAGGCTGGCAGATTGTGTGGGTCTGTCAGGGAGGCTGGGTTATGAAGTCAAGTGGGCCCTTGCCATAGTGGAACAGGTTACTGTTTGGGCTTGAGTTCGATTGGGCTTGTAGGCGGCATATAATAAGGGGCAGATGAATCCTTTCCCGCGGTTTGAGATTCATTCAGGTCTGGCGAACATTGGGAGCACTGCAGCCGAGGCAGCCAAACGTGATTGCTTTTTATTTGCGGTGGGGGTGCGCCGATTAAAAAATTACTGTAGCCTTTAAAGCTTTAGGCTTTATCCAGACCACTTCGATGACTCAGGCTTTCCGGCTACTTGATGGCCCCGTTCTCCCCCTTAGCATGTGCAGCAGAGCACCAGCTGCTCTCCCTGCTCCCGAGCCCTGCATTGAAAGGCAGCACAGTTGTGTAGTCCAGCCAACCTGGTTGATTATGGCGCGACGTGATTAATTGATATTAATTGAACTTGCTGGACGTTGCGCTTGATTTTGCTCATGAGGATGTCGTGACGAAGCATGAAGCTCAAGAAGTGCGGACCTTTGAGGCTTAAGGCCAGGGCTCGACTCGGCTTGTCTGCGATGTTTCAGCATGTTGTGTTGCCATGCGCTGATCACAGGCCATAGCTGGTCCTGCGCCAATGAGACTGTAGAAGATTGGGGCTGGCCTGGCTAGATCGCCGGAAGTGCATTTCGCTACGCCATTCGACCAACTTAGTTCGGAACATTTTGGAATCATTTGCACCATGCAAATCATGCACCGCTCCAAGCCCTGCACGTTTGAAATAGCACAACTGATTGCAACTGTTCATCTCGACGTGAATAAATGAACCTTGGGTACAGGGCGAGGCAGTCTGCCATACTCTGCCAAACTTGATGTCTAGGGGCATCATGGGCACTCTCTCATGAGTGACTGCAAACGGACGAAAAGGGTGGAGCGAAGCCGAGTATTGATGGAAGTTCCACTCTCAAGCAGTTGTCCCGCACTCCGGACTCCAGATATTGCATGGGCCCATGGGCCAGGCGACAATCTGGCTTTTGTTTTTTCTGGTCACGGACTTTGCACCACTTGCACCAGCAGTGAGCGCCGTGATGAGCTCGACAGGGCGCTTCTTAGCAGCAACCATTTCTTTTTACCCTTGCGCTAACTGACACACCTACGCCCACATCAACGCTGAGGTCGGTATAAAGCATTGGATGTAAACAGCAAATCTTGAAGGTCAACATGTGCTTTGCCGACCCCAGCTCATTGGAACAGGTCCCACGATCCCACTCAGCTTCGGACCTGTGTTTGAATAGCACAGCGTGATTGAAGAAGCACAATAAACTGCACTTGGTGACCGCCTCACACGAGAGACAGGTAGAGAGAGAGAGAGAGAGTGAGCGCCGTCGCAAGCCAGCTAGCCAAAAACAGGCAAGCAGCCAGGCATACAGGAGCACGTGCAGGCATAAATAATGTGTTGCCTGTTTTTGATTGACGATGATTGACAATACTTTTAGTGTGGAACTTGTGTGCATGACAAACCGCAATTAACTGCACCAGGATGCCTGAATAGCATTGAATAGCAGCGTATCCAAGAACATGATCGCGTGTTCTTTTTTTTTTCCCTCTTCGGTACCTGTAGGCTTAACGCTTTTAAACCTTAAAGGCTGTGCCCATTTTGATATTGAAATTCAATATTATTCAATATTGTGGGCATCATCTCCTCTCCTCGCCGGTCACTTTCTCTCACTTGAACTCATTTCACCCCATCGTGTCACCCCTTGTCTACTTGTCTTTGTAAAAAATGTATTACAGTATGTAGTTGTACAACTAACATATATATATATATGTATACTATCATACTATATGTGTATGTTTTTGATTCCAGGTACACATATCAGACATTATCAGATTTTCCATCTCCCCCTTGCTCGGTCGAGTTTTGTCTCGAACAGACAGAAGGCTGGAATCGGACTCTGCTAATCATTACTAATCATGATAGCTCGATGGCTTCAATAGCAAGACTCATCATACCCCTAGTTCAAGTCGAGAGCCCACATGATGTAACTGGCAGTCAGATAAAAGCCGCACTCACACGCAGACAGATGAACATGCAGGTGGTTGCGATTGCACTCGCGCGCTCGCACGCCTACATAATCTCGTGTCTCGTTTTTGGACCAGGGTTGTCTCTGGAACTCAGGTGCTGCAGTTGGAAAGTTGGATGAATATGTTTTTGTTGTTTTTTGTTCAAGGCTTCTAGCAGCAGAACTGGAGGCACTGATGTGTGAACTGACCGCATGATGTGATCGACTTTGTATGACATTGCAAGCCTTTGTTTGATTTTGTCCGAAAGGAACCTTTTCCGGCAAACCTGCTTTTTGATTCTGAGCTGCAAAGCCTTTTTGGACTACTACCAGCAGGGGTCTTCGCCTTAGCCTGGGCTTCAACACTTAGGGTTCTGGAAGTGCCAGTGAGAGAGAAAGGGAGAGAGAGAGAGAGAAAGCGCCATCAAAGGTCTTGGTGACTTGCATCATTGATGATCCATGTGGAGACCGTGTGTGGGGTCCAAGCTGGTCCAAGGGTCTTGGTACAACCTGATGCACAGTCGAGAGCAGATATGTGCAGTCTGTGCTGGCTATATATTATATCGGCAAGGCTATGTTACTACTAGCGTGGCACTTGTTCCTACTAGCTTCTTGTTACTAC